TCTCTCTCTCTCTCTCTCTCTCTCTCTCTCTCTCTCTCTCTCTCTCTCTCTTTCTCTCTCCCTTCTCTGGCAAAGGTCTGTGGCAAGGCCGGCCTCCCTTTAGCTGTTCTCGCTCCACTCTGGCACCATGCCAACTCCGTGCACAGAGTGGTACTGGTGTGGAGACAGGGTCCTGGGCACGCTGTGAGAGTAGAGGAATTCAGGGGGTTGCAGACTGCCGGGGGACTGGAGGCCAGTCTGAGGCCCGCACTGCCTGACCACAGGCTGATGGGCCACAGAGGTCTGGTGCTGGAACATCCCCTCTCCAAGCTGCGGGGAGCTGTGGTTGGCCATGCCAGCCAGCCGCGGGACCAGGGGCCCTGAGGCGAAATGAGCAGAGAAGTGCTGGTAGGGCAGCCTGTCCATGGGCTGCACCGTGGTGACCGTGCAGCTGCTGTAAGAGGGCATGCTGGGCCACGTATTGCAGCTGATGTCCTCCAGGCTGGGCACTGGCTCACTGGGTGGGGCAGAGCTGGCATACATGCAGGCCTGCCGCTGGGCCGACTCTGTCCTGTAGGAGGCACTCAGGCCCGGCTGCTGGGGGTAGCTGGGGCGGTAGAAGGAGTCCTCATCGCTGGGGGACGTCTCCATATAGGGCTTCTTGTAGGGGTGGTCTGTGGTGGAGCATTCTTCATCTAAGACAGGAGGAGAGACACCAGTGAGAGCAGAACCAGCCACCACACAGCCAAGAGCAGGGACAGCCACTTGGCTGGAGGAGCGCAGATTGTTCGCTCCGATCTCCACTCTGACCCAAAGGGGTGGACTGTGATAGTTAAGTCCTCGGGCTGTGAAGTTCCGAGCACACAGATGCTTTGCCTGTAAAACGGAACAGGTACTATCAGCCTTCCTACAAAGGGCAGCGTTGAGAATTAACTGAGAAAATATGTGCTACACACTTAGTCCAGAGCCTGGTACAAGGAAAGCTCAACAAATAACAATTATTGCTACAATTATTTTTCATTTTCACCAACACGTAAATTCCGTGCAGAAAGGAACACTGTTTGTTTTATCAAACTATAGTCCTAGACCCTCATACCTCATGCACACCCAGTAATGATAAAATGTTTCAACAATAACAGTAAAAACAAACACATACAGAGCTAACTGCCTGACACCGTTCTAAGCACTAGGAAGAAGGCGACCTATTTGATCTTCACAAGAACCCTACAGGTGGGATTTACCATTATTCCCATTTTTTCAGATAAGAGAAAAGAATCATGGAGTTTAAGAAATTTAGCCAAGCTCTCGTACCGCTGATAAATAGTGGAGCCACGTCTAGATTCAAGTGTTCTGACTACAAAGTCCCTGTTGTTGACCATCATGCTACAGGGAAGCAGGCACATAATACTGTGTGTTACGGATGGATGGATGGATGGATGGATGGATGGATGGATGGATGGCAAATGGGTGGATGGACGCATGGGCAACTTTTTACACAACTTCGGGGGTTCAAGGATTCCCTGAGACCCAGCTCCCAAGTTAAGGTGCCTAGTACTTGGGCTTGCATCTAGCTCCTTACTCAACACCTACGTGATCCCAGCAAGGAATCTATTCTCACAGACTCATCTTGGTGATTCCTTTTTGTTTTGTTTTGCTTTTGGTACCGAGATTCCAACTCAGGACCTTGCACTCGCCAGACAGGCATGGCACCACTGAGCCATTCCCAGCCCTCATCTTGGTCCTTGCTGGATGAGAGCCCACAGCACTTACCTCACTGGGTGATGAGACTCTAAGTAGGGGCAGCGCTGACTCTTCTAATCCCCATCATCCAGAGCAGCTCTCGTCACCAAGCTCATGGCAGACCCAAGCCCTGACGTGAGCCCCCCACTGTTTCCCTGGGGAGGTGATGCTTCGACACCAAGGTGCAAACCTCAGTGCAGGTTCCCTCCTTAGCTGGAATGTGACCCCCTAAGATGAAGCTTTCTTCTGCCATCTTCCAATCTCTTTCTAATCAATACATGTTAAGAAATCACATCTGGGGCTAGGAATGTAGCTCAGTGGTAGAGAGCTTGGTTAGCGTGTGTGAGGTCCTGGGCTCCATCCCCAGCTCCACAATAAAAAAGAAGGAAGGGAGGGAAGGAGGAGACCAAAAAATGGGGAGGAAGGGAAGGGCAAGGAAAAGGAGAAGGGAAGGGGGGGAGGGAGAAAGACTATCTTGGAAATGTGCAGAGAAAATGAAGGTTCCATGCAACTCACTAAGATAGTCAGTCGTCATGAAGGCAGAACACCAGACTACATAATATGGGAGGAAAAATTACTATTATCAAGCTATCACTTACTGAGCACCTACGAAGCGGCTCATAGTAATCCTCAGAGTAATCTCATAGTAATTCCTTCAGAGGGCTGCTCTTGTTCCTGTTTCTCAGAGGCAGGAAAGGAAGCTCAGAGAGGTGACTTGCTCAAGGTCACATGGTTGGGAAGGAACAGAGGCTGGATTCAAAGCCAACCTGGCTTCCTTTGCTCACTACACCTGGCTTCTATCCATCTAGTTTTCAACTACCCGATGCCTTTCCCCAGTCACCCAGCAGATCTTTACTGAGCTCCTGCTGAGTGGGAGGTATTGTGTGAGAGCCGGAGCCAGAGTGGTGACCTTGGGTCCATAATGTCCCTGGCTCGTACCTGCTTTCCTGGGTCAGCAGGTGAGGCAGGGTGACACACAGGGACTTGGAGGCAAACCACAGAGAGAAAGCTGACCATAAATCATTCGTGCAGCAGCACATCTCTTGGGTCTGGGATGGTTTGTGTAACAGCCTGCGGCCAAACAGCTCGGTGGGCAGCATTCCCCCAGGGACACCCACAACTGGGTCAAAAGTCATCGCACACCGATACCCGCTTCGCAGCAGGCAAGTTTATTTTTTGCTAGACTTTCTGGGACACATCTGGGACCCACAGGATACCCAAAAATGTGTACAAAAGAAAAATGCAGTCACTATTCCAGGTGTTCTATCTGCATCGTGCCAACCATCCAGATGTTTGAAGATGGCCGCAAGAGTGAGTGGCCATGTGTTTCGACCTTTCAAGTGGGTGCTGGTTTGGGATCTCAAGGACACTGTCACACTCAGTTTGTGTCCTTGCTGCCTCCTTTCCCAACTCTTTTCCTTCCCTTCTCCCTTCCACCCACCAGATCCATAAATCTGAATGTCTCCATTGTTGCCAGGCTCATAACCTTTGGGTTTTTTTTTTAACTTTTATTTATTCAATAAGGGCGTTTCCCCTTCTCAATAATAGAAAGTACAGCTGCAGGGTACCCTTGGCAAGAGAAAAAAAAACAAGGCAAATTAACCATTCTCAAGTTTCTGATCCCTTTCCAGATTTGCTGCAAGTCAAGAAAGGGGAATAATAAGAAAAAGGCCGGAACACATTTTGGAAAATCGTAAAATTATGCATTCCAGTCTTTAATATCCCAAAGATCTGATGCAGAGAACTAAGAAAAACTCAGTGTGGTTTATTGATGAAAGCAGGTCCTGAGCCTTGTGCTGTTCCTTTCAGTCCTCATCACGTTAGACAGGCGTTCCAAAGCAAGGATCCAAGTTTCAGGTCAGTCTCGATCAACGCTCTGGGTTCATTTTGGCTTCCTTTGCCTTTTCCTTAATTTGGCCTCCATGGCTGGGGAAGGGGTCGTGACCGAGGGTCAGGCCTTCTGAGACGAGTCTACCACTCAGCCTCAGACACAGTGTATTAAGCTGGACTGGTGGTGCAGGCCCACAATCCCAGCACTCGGGCTGTGGCAGGAGGATGGCAAGTTCAAACCCAGCCTGGGAAACTTAGTGGCTGAGCAGAACCCTGTCTCAAAACAAAATAAAAGGGGCTGGAAATATAGCTCAGTGTGAAGGTCCTGGGTTTGATAAGTGGTATCATCAAAAAAGAAAAAGTGGCCAGCTACCCTGAACCAAACTATGTCTCCAGATAACAGAGAAGTTCTTAACTCCGACCACCCATCACAGCGGGGCTCTGTGAAAGCCCCGGTCCTTTGGATTTTTCCAGATGTTTTTGCTTTGGATAAAGTGGCTTTTAGTGATGATTCCAGAACACAGATTTTAAGCACAGAGTTATGGCTCTGATGCCGGCTACATGAATCACTGGGCCATTCCGATGTCAATTCTGGACTACAAGCCGGAATGAAACTCAAACTTCTTGTGGGATTTAATTGAGATAATAAATACTAAATCCATTCCAGTTTCTATCTATCTTCCTTGCATAGTAAGTCAGCACAGAGCTTTGAAAGCTCTTGGTTCCAACCTTATCTATCCAAATATTCAGGGTCTACTTGCTGTTTCCTGTTTTCTCCCTTGGAATACTGGACAGCTGGCTCTCTGAAGGTCACCTAGTACTTGCGGGTATTTGGCTGGATTTCACAGCTTGGAAGCCTCACAGAGCTGATTTCAAATCACTAATCCCATTAAGCAAATATGCTCACAACTCCCAAAGGGATTATTTCTCTGGCAGACTGAGTTCACTTAGATGAAAGACTTTTGCAAATCTTGTGGACAGAGACCCTGGAGCCTGAGTGGTGAGCAGCCACTCTCCAGCTAAGTCACCTTCAGCAAATTAGAATGATGGCTACAACTTGGGCTCTCTGGCTCACAAAACAGTGCTCTTTATGAAAGATGGCCCCAGGGTTTCTATTTTCATGTAATTCAACATGCTCAGCCAGCATGGCAAGGTAGTAATCCTTGACCATTATGGATGGATGGATGCATGGATGGGATGGATGGATGGGTGGATGGATGGGTTGGTGGGTGGGTGGATGGGTGGGTTAAATGGATGGATGGGTGGATGGGTGGATGGATGTGTGGATGGATGGGTGGATGGGTGGGTAGGTAGATGGATGGATGGGTGGATGGGTGGATGGGTGGATGGATGTGTGGATGGATGTGTGGATGGATGGGTGGATGGACTGGACAGATGAGTTGTGAATGTTTGTTCCCGTGCTCCCAGAACTTAGATTAAAATGAAAAGGATGGAAATGATATTACAGAAAAAACTTCAGCTGGTAATCAAAAGACTCAGGTTCAGAACTTGAGAGTGCAGCTTAACGGTGGAACACTTGCCCAGCCTGTACAAGATGTGGTTCCAGCCCCAGCACTGCCAAAAAAGAAAGACTGGTTCAAATGTCACCTCCGCTCTATCTGACATCACTAAATGTTGACTTAGTATATCTCTCCCCCAGTGAGCATTCAACTGTTTTGAGAGTTGAAGTTCTTTCCTCCTTGTCCTCTGCTTACCCCAAGCACCCAGCACAGTGCCTAGAACATAGTCAGTGATCGATAAATATTTATTTGCTGGAACCAGCCCAGATCTACCACTCATCGATCATGCACCCTCAGAACCTAACCTCAGCTCTCAGTCCTCCACCCCCTGCAGAACGAGGTGAAGGCATTCTCTCTTCCTCAAAGGCTGCATTGAGAATCCAATGAAGGAAAGAACGAGAATTTGCTTTTTAAAAATACACAGCACCGAGAAAAGCAGGCCGCACAATCTTTTCCAACATCTACCGCTTTTTTCCCTTTGAACATCCAAGCTTATAATAAGTTGGGTTCCAATCTTTTTTTGTGTGTACCGGGGATCGAACTCAGGACCTTGCACTTGCGAGGCAGGCAGCAGCACCACTGAGCTAAATCCCCGCTCCTGGGCTCTGATCTTTACTGGGATGATGTTTGGTGACTGAGGGGAGGGGGGAGTGTGAGGCGGAAAGACAGACAGACAAGTGCTCTCCCAGGCCCCAGGCCCTGGATTTGATTGAGTGGCATTGATAAAAGACCTTCCCAGCTTTTCTGACTCCATCCATCGGAGAGATAGTTTGGAGACAGCAGAGTCCAAACACGAGGGTGGCCTCTGGCCCGCCGGCCCTTTGACATTCTCTGGGCCCGCTGAGGAGACAGACAATGAGGGGAAGTCTGATAGCGGTGCGGGGCGGGGACCAGAGGGAGCCACCCACGGAGTTATCACTTCTTGGGGATCCCAAGCTGGAAGGAAACCTCCACCGATTCCTTATCGCTCACATGATGAATCGCTATTTGTTGTCTCTCCTCGCTGAGCTGGCGCATTGCCTGTCTCAGGAAGCTTTCTCTAGGGGGCAGAGGGAGGTGAGAGGGCGAAAGGCCTAGGTGCACAACCCACGTACCCCACATCCACAAGGTTCCGGTGGCTCCACCTGGCCACCCACCAGCCCGGTCCCTCGACCTGTCTGAGCTTCGGTTTCCAGATCTGCGGAGAGGGGGCCGTTCCTCACCCCGCTGTCTCCAGCCAGTCACCATGTCCCGATCTCTCCCCCTACATCTCATACCTCAGGGCCTTCACCTGCCTCTCCCTGGGTCCCCACAACTGCTTGCAAACCAAAAACCCGGTCCTGGCGCGCACAGGCTGCTCGCTCTGCCGGCAGCTGCTCACCAGCGCCAGTGGCATCCGGACGCCTCAGTGAAAACGTCTCTAGGGCTGTGACCGCCTTTCCCCAGGGCCTCGCTCTTCACCCTTTCCCGTGCTTGGGCTTCAGCAGCCCAGCATTTTGCTGGCCCCCAGCAGGCTCTTACTCTGCCCAGACAGCTCCTCCAATTCTCCCACGGTCCCCACCCCCGTCTGCCGCTCAGATAAGATTGCTGTTATCACTGCGTCTCCTTCACAGCACCCCTCACGACCTTCACCGCACATGATACGACTGCTCACCGCATGCCCCACCTGCTCGTCACTGCAGGGGCTCCACAGAGAGCACCTCAGCGGCTCGGGGATGTCTGCACCGTCCTGAGCTCTTTATACGGTTCAAGTCATCTTGCCACAACCCTACGGGTGGGCATCGCTGCCGTCCTCCTCTTGGCCCAGAGAGGTAAGCAACTAGCCCACAGTCACACAGCTGCCGAGTACCACAACTGTGATTATCTCCCCAACAAATCAGCCACCAACTCCAGCCCCTCCACTGGCCACACAGTTGATTCTAAGTTCAATTCTGCCAATGCCCTGGGAAAGCCAACCGCACACATAATCAGACAGTTTGATCAGCCTCACATCCAAAGCCTTCTCCCAAAAGGCATTCGTAGGTCGCCACCGTAAATGCTGACCTAAAACGTGCTTTGGTTCTCTGTAACTTCCTCCTCCCTTGCTTTTGGCCTGGCATCAATCTCACCAAGAGAGCTCCGTAACCCGAACCTGGTGAGCTGTGGTCAGCACGTTTCACCCAGGTTCCAAGGCAGGCCTTCTGTGGGAGACGTGACTTTGAAGGTGTAGCAGTGCTACTCGAGATGGGATGGAGCAGTGAATAAGGGCACGGGGCTGCACTGTTTGCCAAGATGTTTGAACCAGATCTGAGTTCAAATCCCACTTTCAAGAGCCACCGAGGAAGCTGGGCATGGTGGCACAGGTCTGTAATTCCAGCGCTCTGGGATTACAGCCAGTTCAAGCCCAGCCTGGGTAACTCGGCGAGAATCATGCCTCAAGGTAAAAAGTCTAAAGGGCTGGTGATGCAGGTCAGTGCAAAGGCCCAGGTTTCAACAGTCAAAAATAAATAAATAAGAACCACAGGCACAGCTTTTTAACCTTTCTGAGCCTTAGTTTCCCATCTGCAAAGGTCATTCATAACAACACCCCCTGAGCAGCATTGTTAAAAGGCTCTAGGACCGAGGATAGGCACCTTTAGGGTAACAGAAAGCAGGACCTCTGGGCGGGAGCTACACTCCCGGGTACACGCTTCCCCTCCTGCCCACAGACACATGTGTTTGTAGGCATCTGATCTCCAGCCCATCCAGCTGTGGATGTGGTGGGAGTTGGGCTGGAGGGCTGTTTGGGTGATATTGTTCAGGCCTTCGAGATCCAAGAGGTGTAGACAGAGGCAGGCTTCTCCCCAAGTCAGCCCCCAGCCCTGTGAGGACCAATGACAGCTCATCCGTCCTTCACATCCAAGGTAGGGGCTGGGATGGAGCTCAGCGGTACAGCACTAGCCCTGCATGCACAAGGCCCTGGGTTCCATCCCCAGTATTGAGAAAACAAATCAAAAAGCAAAACCCAAGCCAGCGATTTAGCTCAGTGGTTCTACTGCCTGCCTTGCAAGCACAAGGATCTGAGTTTGATCCCCAGTACTAAAAAAAAAAAAAAAAAAAAAAAAAAA